ATTTGACACTGTTCCTTCAGGACCATTGGTGATCTTATTGGAATGAATCAGCGCTTGAACATCTTTTGCCGTTTTCTCAAGAAAATCCTTAAGTTCTCCAACTTTAGTTATACAATCAAAGATTGATAATTGTGGAACGTTCTGGTGCTTCAGATGGACGGAAAATGCCGTATACAATTTTCCGAGTTCTTGCAAAAAACGCACGGTCCCTGCGATAGTTACAATTAATTTTACGCAACCTGTTTGAGAATCGGTTATAAAAAAATTCTTCTCGTTTTCAATACATACTCCCATTAGCTGACCAAATGAAGAATTCTCTGCTCTCCCTTCTTTATTTCCTTCTTGACCATTACCAGCAATCAATTCCACATGTCGGTCCTGACGTAGAAGTTTTACTTGAAAGGATCCTGAATCACAGAACAAAACACCGTTCAGATAGGTTGCTATTCCAGCACATTCACAGCAGTACTCAGTTCCATTGAGTAAAAGAACAGAGTGCAGCCTTGTGGTAAGATCAACAGAAAGAAGTCCGCCTGTATGCTCCATCGTGTCCCCTTTGAATGCAACAAACATAGTTCCACTCTTCGCACACAAGGATATGATTTGGGAACATTCCTCCGGATAGCGACAAAGCTCCTCGACTGATCCCTTAATCGCAGCTCCATCTGACTTTAATTCTATTGTGTAGAAGCATTTTTCTACGTCGCTACTACAAAGCAGGATGGAATCAGTCATTCTACAAATACAAGATGACTGGATATCTTGAGAAAGTATGACCTTGTTGGTGTCAGTTCCTGCTTCTTGGTGTTCAGCTAAACGTGTTTTGACGTGATCATTCACTCGCTTTCGCAATTGTACGACAGTTCTCTCAGTTGACACTTTCCAATCCTGCAAAATCTTCTTAAGATCAGGTTTCTTGAGTTTGTTTGTAGAAGGTGTTATCTGACCAGAGATGGGTACGACATGAATACCACTGGGAGCAGACACATATGCGATTCCTTCAAGGTATACAACGTGTCGTGCGTCTTCGAGCTCCTTAATTATCTTCACATCCGCCGGTGAATGAAGCCGAACTTCTAGCAATCTTGTCCTTTTGCACAGAGGTTTGTAATCCAAAACCAAGAGCTTACCGTGGTCTCCCATAGATACTGCAATTGGATGTGGATAGAGCCCACTTCTATTGCTGTCCGTGATCTTGTATCTGTCTGGGAGAATTGGATGAACTACTCTGTCAATTTTCTTCAATTCCTCTAACACAGCATCCTTTGTTAGATGCAAAATGCAATCCACATCCATACGATCTTTATTTAGGGGGTGATTACATGGACGTGCTAGCCCGGTCTACCGGGCCAGCCCAGTTTTCCGAGCTAGCCCGCCTACTCTATAAATTGTATGTATTTTTTAATTTACGATTACTTGAATAATCCCGGCTAGGCGGGCCAGCCCGCTTCGGCGAGGTCTCGGCTGTAGCAACCGGGCTAGCCCGTCTGGCCGGGATGAAATTTCTCATGTAATTGCTTTCGTCTCGCTAAACCAGGCTGGAATTGCTGTAACGCATGCGTATTTAATTTTTCTCTGCATGACTGCATCTTTCCTCATGCAATGCAATATGGCGGACAAAAGTGTCTCAAAACGTAAATCGAAAATAAAAGACAAACATACGATAATAAAGTCTTCAGTTCCCGAGAAAAAGAAATTCAAATGGGACAAGGACATGGTTAAGCTTATGCTGAATACTTTGTTTGAATATAAGTCTCTCATGGAATACAGAAACTGCGATTTTAACGCGGATAAATCGAAACAATATGAAGCTTTAAGAGTATCACTAGCCTCCTTCTACGAAGATATTGATATATCCTTCTTTGGACCGAAGAAGATTCTTGATGAGGATGACACAGAAGACCGAGAGAGTTTTGTTTAAAAAATTAAGATGCAAAAGAAACAAATTCGTGTCGGCTACAATCGTGTGATGGAGAAGGTAAAAGAACTTCGCCAGGGTTTTAGCAATGCGGTGACAGTCGGTTCAAGAAGCGGATCAGGGAAATTGGTGTTGGAGTTTTACGATTTGATGGTTCAGATATGGGGAGGCGCACCTTCAACGGAGCCACTTCCATTTGGGGTTCAGTCATCACAGACAGCATCAATTACTCCCACTGGCACTGATAATGATTTGGCAAATGACTCATCATCAGAAGGAGAAACAGAAGAAACCTTAGGTGAACAGAATCAGGCACAAAATAAGGAACAAGATCAAATTGATGAACAAAACGAGGATGATATTGATTTGCTTGGAGGTGGACCCGCCAATGAATCCAAACAACCTGATGCCTCTAAAAGAAAGTGTTCTCAAAGTCAAGTTCCTAGTTTAATCGATGATAAAAGAAGAAAAATGGAAAGGCAGCTATCAGCTGCACAGAGAGACAGACTCTTTATTCAAGAAGGAAAGGAGGAAAAAGAATTTCGACGTGAGATTGCTAAATCTTTCAAAGAATCAAATTCTATTTTTGCAGAATCTCTGAAAGCCTTGAGCTCTTCTATGGTTGCATTGGCATCTTCTATGCAAAGGTCAGTTGATATGTCTGCTAATCAATCGCGGCAAAGAATAGTTCATCCACAACCACCAGTGATGCCCAATGTAATGCAACATGGCAATTACATTGAGCATAATAATGTGTCATCCCATCCATTTATGATGCCTGAAAATGCTGTTGAAGAGGATCAGTTCTATAGATTTTAGGTGAGAAAACACTCTAATTGTTGTGTTCTTAACAATGACAATATGTATAATTATATTTAAAAATGAACAAAAGTTTCATTAATATTATTTATATTGTTTTAAAAAAATATACATATTACATGGTATATCTACTATTATACTGTTTTAAAAAAATGTACATAATTTATTACATGGTATATCTACTACCCAGAACAAAAAATTTAGTTGTATACTATAAATTAGTGTGTTAAACCAACATGTTTGTTGGGAGATGTTTTATCTACTTCACAAATAATGAACAAAATATTTTTATCCTAAAATCTTTTACATCTTGCTTTAACTAAATGATTGATGGACAAAACAATTTGCAATACTGGTACAATTTCCATTTGGAGTATTGTTTCACTACGGGTAGTAGATACTTGACCACTATTGATCATTTCTAGTTCAAGTTTACATTTAAGTTATGTTTACATTTTACACTCATTTAACACTTTGTAAATGTTTTTTTGTTATCTAGTTATCATGTTATTGAAAAACTCAACAAATTACACTATGTAATTATGCAGTTGTAAATGTATCAATAGTTATCAGGCATGTTTGCAAGGATATATTGTGTTAAAGTTTCCCTTACTGCTTCTCCTTCCCCTGTAGTACCAGAATAAACAGGATCTGGAATATTTCTGTGTAACATATCTTCAGATTTGTTCCACTCTGTTTGGGCTTTAACAGCATCCATATCTATGATGTCATTATGAAGCTCACAAAAGTTGTGAAGAACAAAGCAAGCCATAACAATAATTGGAATATTCTCTAACTTAAGATCCATCTTTCTTGTCAGAATCGACCAACGAGCTTTCAAACGACCAAATGCACATTCTATGGGGTTACGTGCTTCCCTGAGTAAATTATTATAGATTACTTGGCTGTTTGTCTTGCAGCTTTTATTGTCGAGAATTAGCCTCCGTTCAGTATCGTTTTGTCCTCGACAAGTCTCAATTCACACAATTCGATTGGGTTTATGAAATATATTGAATTAACAAATAAAATTAAAAGTTATACTAAATCTTCACCCAAAATTCACGTTGCAGCTATGTCGAATTAATATCGCGTCTCTCGAGACAGACCGTTTCGCACACTATGACCCTCTATCACCAACTGACTCAATTTTGTGCAGATCCCTTATTTTACCCATATTGCTTCCCATTTCTGTGCAGTGCGTGTCTTCACCTATTATTTCGTGCGCCCCGTTGTCGCTCAGTCCCGACACACTCCCCCCATATATCTTAGTGCTGTGATATATGTCTACAAAGGGTCTGAGCTAGTGCTACTGATTCAAGCTTAAATGCAATCTAATATTAGTGTCCTAATATGGATAAGTGTCACCGTTCATCTTCTTCTGCTTGATCCCGTAAGCGGATTGCTGCCGCTACTGCTGCATCACGTTTCGGTCGGGGTTGGAAGGGAGGGGTGTCTGGGTTTAACGTGGTTGGAGGTGGTAAGTCACAGGAAAGTTCTATCGGGTAGAGTTGCTGTATTGCACGTTCAAGAATTCCATTTGGCGTCCTGATCTTTGCTCCCCGTACTACGTCATCACGCCCTCGAATCAGCTCTTCGACTACGCCCATCTTCCATAAATTTCTGTTCTTCATCTCTCCTTCGATGATAACAGCATCACCACGGTTGGGATGATCTGCGTTTTTCCCATTATCTTGTCGGTGTCGATCTCTTATCACTTGGAATGGGGTTTCTCCTTGCGTTCGCGTAACTGGTAGTCGTCCAGGCGGTGGTCTGTGATACGCACGAGCGCGGAATCGCACACATCCATGCCATTTGCTTCGTACCTCCTTCACAAGGCGACGTAGTCTAGGTATCCAGTATCGCTCACGAACTTCAGCCATGGTCGCCGGTACTCCCCCGTGAAGAGTGATGATGTGCGCTTGTTCGACTAGTTTCTTCGAAAACTGCGAATTTGCAGGCAAGTATACCGGATACTCGCCTTCGATTCGCCCGCGACACTCTAGAATTCCGTTCTGGTTAGGTTGGAGGTTTAGCTCGATTTTCGTACTCTCGAATTCCGGTGCGTCCCTAGCTCCATCTTGAACTCGTTTAATCCACCACAACCGTGCGTCTTCGATCTCCTGCGTCTTTATCGGTCCCAGGGACTTCGCTTTCCTTTGGGTGTGTTGAATGAAGCGGTTAATCCAAGCACAAATTCGAAGGGTTTTCCGCAACGTATACCGCTCTAGTAGTTGGTCAAACACGTCCTCGTGTGCCGTTTGATTCATCGTGACCAAAACTCGCGTCGACGGTTTTTCCTCTTGCTTCGAATCCGAACTCGCCACAGGCACAACTTCCGGTGGCCACGTCTCCTGGTTGTTAAGCCACGTGGACCGTGCTTCCATAACTCGTTTCCCACCACATCTCCTCCGCGGCTCCCTAGGTCAGCGGGATTCTCGTTCGTTGGGACGTGATGCCATCTGATCCGGTCGAGTTCTTTGACCTTTTTCACTCGGTTGGATACGAATTGCCGGTACTCGCCTTGTCCATTGATCCAATATAACGCGACTGTCGAGTCCAACCAACAGTGTATCTCGGTCACCTTCTCCATTCCGATCGCTCGCTCGACGTTCGTCACTAAGTTTGCGGTCATATGACCAGCGACAAGCTCTAAACGGGGAATCGTGAGGCTCTTCTTCGCAAGTCTGGACTTTGCACACACGATACCTTGGGTTGTTCCGCTCTCTTGCTCTGCGACTGCGTAGACGACCGCAGAAACTCCGTTCTTACTGGCATCCCCGAATCCGTGAAGGGTGATTGACTGTACTGGCTCTCTGTGAGGGGCTAAAGTTCGAGGGACCGTGTACTGGCCTGGCAGGTTTTCGTACCACTCTTTCCACCGTCTCTTCAAAGAACCGTTAAGTTCTTCATCCCAGGCAAGTTGCTCTTCACACATTTCACGGTACAGTAGTTTTGCTACTAGGGTAGTTGGGGAAACCAGGCCGAGTGGGTCGTACACACTTGCAACCTGCGACAGGGCCTCCCTTTTCGTAGATGCTGCGTCTCGTTCTTTGTTTACTACAACACTTAAACGGTCTTGAGCTTTGTTCCAACCCATACCGAGGATCTTTGTCTCAGTCCCCTTTGTGCCCAGCTGCTGTTTCGCGAAGGTAGTTTCCGGGTTGCCCACGTTGCCTTCATTGGCGCTCTGGTCGGTATCCTCGAGTTCAGAGGCGTTTGAGTGCCATTTATGCAGGTGGAAAGTGGCATCCTCAAAAATACTAACCGTCTTCGCTTTCTTCTCTTTGACCTCTTCAACATTATCACCTCCCTCCATCACATCATCGACATACAGGCCGCCTTTTATCTCTTCCACCAGAGCCGGATATCTTTTCTCCCAACTCTTTAGGTGTTCGTTCAGGACACCTCCAAGAAGGAAGGGAGAACAGGTCAGCCCAAACAGCGCCCTAGTAAACCGATAGACTGTGAGGTCGTCACTATCTGGTGCCTTCCAATGGAAGCGTAGGGAATCTCGTTGGTTTTCGCGTATCCGGACTTGCAGGAAGGCTTTCTCGAGATCAGCGGTCAGCACGATGGGGAGGAAACGTAGACGAACTAAAATATCCCACAGGTGGTTCTGGAGTGGTGGGCCAGGGTTCAAGCATTCGTTCAAGGATGGATCAGATGCCGATTCTTTGGCGGACGCGTCGTAAACGACCCGAAGTTTCGTCGTCTCTGCGGTCTCCTTTACGACGGGCTTGTGGGGAATGTAAAACTCTTTACCCTTTGCTGTGGCAGGTGCTGGTTCGACAATACCTTTCACGAGCTGATCTTGAATAATGTCGTTGTACTCTTTGTAAATTCCTCTTTTCTCGAGACGTTTCACCAGGTTGTTAAGTCTCCTTATGCTTCCTCTTTCGTTCGACGGAAGGTGTGGATGATGCGATTTCCACGGTAAGCTAGTCTCGTACCAGCCTTCTTTGTCGCGTGTGAGCTCGTCTTTAAAATCATCGTAAATCGCTTGAGAGCCTTCCTCGGTGGGATCTTCAAGACCGAGGACGTCTAACCGACACAATCGCTCGAAATCGTTTTGAGATGTTGTGGTCAGTAGCATCGTATTCTGGTCCAACTCGATTCCAGGACTCATGATCATCCAACCAAACCTTGTAAATTCCGCCACGGGATCACCGTCCTTTCCTACCAGGGGTTTGGTCCTTGTTTTTATCCGAGCATACTCGCCGTTTCCCAGCACGAGGTGAATGGGTAGCTCACTCTTTGTGTCGCGTTCGTCCATTTTGACCGAATTCAAATGTTTATATCGTCTCACGAGTTGGTCGTAATTGGGGTTACTAGTTGTCAGAAGCTCGCTCTTTTCAACTTTGTTCAAGTCACGTTTATTTTGCACGAATCGTCCAAGGAACTAACTTCTACATCGAAAACTTCTATTCGCTTTGTTTGCGAAGTCATCACATGTCTATTCGCTGGCTCTTTTTATCGCTGGGTTTAATGTTTAACGCGTTGACAAGTTCGCGGACGCATAGGAACTGCCGGCGCCAGAATCAATAAGTGCGCGAGTCATTACACCATTAACTTTCACAACAACACTGGAAATATCCCTTCCGCGCTTGCCCCATCTGTCATCACTTTCTTAGCCCCGGGTGATTGGTCCCCTTCTTTTGTATGATCTTGACCAGACCTTTCGTCGCGTTCATGCTTGTACTGTTCGCAGATGGATGAGTGATGACGCTTGTTGCAATGCCCACAAGACGTCTTGCTGGCACAGTCCGAAGCTCGGTGAAATTTCGTAGCGCAGTTAAAGCACAAACCCTTTCTTGCTAAAATTTGCTTTCGGTCACTGGGATTCACGACATTTGTGCATGAAACCGCCTTATGGCCAAGATCGCCGCAATAAACACAGCCCAAAAGTTTTTGTTCATTTCCGCTCGCGCGAAACAACTTCTTACGGTAATCATCTTTGCGCGGAGGGTCGCTTTCGTTTACCGGATTGCGTTTTACCCACTGTCGCAATGCCTCAGCTAACTTCTCGAAATCCCATGTTTCCCATTCAGGATCGGTTCTAACTAAATCGCCCCTGATACCTGACAATTTATCTAATGTCATCGAGACATTTCCGTTAACCTGATCGAGTTTCCTCAAGGTCTGCAAGGCTCGCACGCAATAGGTCAAAGTCTCACTAAATTCGGCAATTCTACGGGGGTTACTGTTCGTAATATGAGGTAGATCGAGAATCTCCCTTATATAGCTTTTGACAATCTCGGATTCCTTGCCGTAATTGTCTTGGAGAATGGCTTTGGCTCTATTGTAACCTTCGGTTGAAAAGGGCAGGGACTCGACGCATGTTTTGACCTTTGGACCCAATAATTCTAACAAATACGTAAACTTGGTAATGGGGGCCACGGAACTCTTATCAATCCCTTCGGTAAATTGTCCCCAAAACCTAGGCCAGTCTTTAAATGACCCATTAAACTTCGTAATCACAAGTTTCGGTAGCTTTGCGTTTCGACTTGGGCATTCCTGAGTTTCCGGTTTGGGTGGGGTCATTTCCCTTTGCATGCGTAGTTTCTGTTCATGCAACTTTAGTTCTGCTTCACGTTGCTGCTCTAGTCCTGCAGCCTTAGCGTTACGTTTCTCTTCAGCTAACCAATCGCTCAACTTTGAAATCTGTAAATCAGCTACTTCGAGTGTCGCCTCAACACTGTCGCTCCAATCGGAAATTTCGCTCATGCTTGTTTTTCTCGCGATTTTCTGTTCCTCAACTTTGCGCTTGCACTCGTTAGCCGCGGTGTTTACAGATTGCAGTGTTTCGATATGGCGTTTTATAGTTTCACGCTTACCTGTTGCCAGGATTTTATCTGACCTTCTCGTAACCAATTTCAGCTGGGATAATTTCGTCTCCAATTCGATGTCTGCCTTTGTCAATTCTGGAGGTATACTTTCTCCGGTTGGTTGAACGGCCATCTCCGTAACTGTCTCTCCAGCAGTACTCTCTTTTTCTTCTTCCATCGTTGTTCAACGAGTTCGCAATCCCGTCTCGGAGGTGCCAGGTGTCGAGAATTAGCCTCCGTTCAGTATCGTTTTGTCCTCGACAAGTCTCAATTCACACAATTCGATTGGGTTTATGAAATATATTGAATTAACAAATAAAATTAAAAGTTATACTAAATCTTCACCCAAAATTCACGTTGCAGCTATGTCGAATTAATATCGCGTCTCTCGAGACAGACCGTTTCGCACACTATGACCCTCTATCACCAACTGACTCAATTTTGTGCAGATCCCTTATTTTACCCATATTGCTTCCCATTTCTGTGCAGTGCGTGTCTTCACCTATTATTTCGTGCGCCCCGTTGTCGCTCAGTCCCGACATTATACTCCTTCATACAATTAGGTGTCAAAGGGTATGCCAGGTCACCTATCAAGTAGTTTGGAATTTTGTCACGCCCTGGAAGTAAGTTATTGAATGTTGTGGGCAAATTTCTTGCTTTCAATTCATTGTGTACATATGAATTAGCAAAAACCTTTGCATCATGTACACAACCAGGCCAACGACAGTCTACGTCCATAAAAATGCCACGAAAATCACAGACAGCTTGAACATTTAATGAGAAGAATTGTTTATAGTTAAAATAATCTTGGGAATTTTCAATAGGCCTCTTGATGGGTATATGTGTCCCATCAATGCATCCAAATGCTTGAATCATGCCAAATTTTGTTTCAAATTCAGCTACTTTATTTCTCATTTCCTCAAGGGTTTTTCGAAGGTAAACATACTTGGGACCAAGGTGTTTTGAAATTGCAGTACAAACTTGAAGTAGGACTTTGGAGACAGTGCATTGATGTATCCCAAATGTGTTTGCTGTCATCCAAATAGACCCAGTGTCTTTCAAGTAGTACAATGTTACAGCTACCTGTTTTGATAAAAAAATATAACAGTATTCACTTTATCCGGCTTCGCATGACATATCCTATATAAATTAATTCCGAGTTTTGTTTTCAGGCATTGGAAAGCATTTACAAACCTTTTTCTCTACTGATAATGCATGATAATTGGGGGTCTTTCCAGGTGAAATGAAAGGTCGTAATTCTTCACACAGATTTCGAAATTTCTCTCGTGTCACTTTAAAATTTCGTTTCCGTTCGTCTGCTGGAGTGATGCCACGAATCATATTTGTCCACCAGGCTTCGGTCCTTCCTTTTTTAACCCACGTTGACCTCTTTCTTCTGCATAACTTTCGCAACCGATTGTATCTTTCTCTTTTTCGCGCAATTGTTGTTTTTGCCATGAAATATGCTAACATCATATCATTGTTTCGCTTACGAAGGAGCACATACACATAAATAATGCCATAAAACTGCAGTAATAGTGAGCAAACTAGAGCTAAACGGGGCAGCATATCGCGGAATCCAAATTAACACTTGAGAGTTGCAAGTTTTATTGTTTACAATTTTAAACTTTCGCGCGAAATTTTCCCGCTATTTTTCGGCCCGGCAAGCCGGGCTAAGCTCGCTAATCGCTACATATAATTGTAATAAAAAATTTGTCTCGCTTAACCGGGCTGGCCCGGTTAACCGGGTTAGCACGGCTCATGTAATCACCCCCTTAGAACGGCATCTCTTGGTAAGATCTTTTTAAGTGTGGCATCTTCATCACGAAGACAGTGAAGGACTGAAAGGCATGCTCGTTCACCATCCAATAAAAGCATCCAATTGGCAAAACTGGCTTTGAGGGTTTTGCCAACATGAACTGCATCAGGAAGACACGAGAAGATAAACTCTGGAGGTAAACGACGGTTTTCATAATCGTTAATTATGAGTTCAAATGCAGTTTTATTTCCAGATTCACAGTCGGAGGTTAAAACAAGGACACATGCTCTAACGCATTGAACGCCATCTTCTAAACAATTTGTACAAGCTCGTAGAGGGGGATGATGACTGGCTTGTTGTGCCAGAAGACATTCTGGACAAACAGCTTCTTCGTCAAGGCACATTTCGCATTTGCTCATACAATGTCTAACTGAATCTTTGTCACTAATCACGTGATCAAACGACTTTGATGTAAGGAGACACCGCCTGCATGTCTGAAGAATACTTATTTCATCCAAAAACTGCTTTTTCATATTCTCTCCCGTCTTACCAGACTTAGGAACAAACCGTACTCCAACAGGAATGCTCACTTTGTTGTCGAGGGTAGAAATAAATGAGACATTTGCTTCTGTAACTACGTTAGAACGTAGGTACTCTGAGGTAGGATTAGGTCTCCCTTTAACAAAAGCAAAATCAACTCTTTCTTGTAAACCAACGTTCAGTTGCTGTTGCTCGTCATATTGGATACTTGGTTTAAGGGCCATCCTGTCATTTTCAAGGGCAATGGCAAACGATTTTACAATAGGTGTTTCGAGAAAAGGTTGGACGATATCTGAACGGGAGGATGAACTAGTTAATTCTAATGCTGTGCAGAGCCAACGCTTTACGACGCCGCTTTGTGTCGTGTATTCAGATGTTTGTTTCTGCCTTGTTGTCCTTGATGGTCCGCCCAAGTTTGGTTTGACATCCTCAGGATTCTTTTTTCCTCCCTTGCCTGTTCCAAACCACATTGGTCCTCTAACAAAATTAACTGTTCTTTCTCCACCCAGGTATTTTATAGTGTTGAAAAACTCAACAACTTCAGTATCATACTCCCAGTTGGGGTTGATCATAATATTTGTAATATCGCTCAAATATTTGTACATAATTTGATGTTTGGGAATTCTCCCCGATTGAATTAATTGATTCAGTCTCACACACACTGGGTCTGCTTTTTCCAGAGATAGTGGGAAAATTATGTAGTCGCTGTCTCCATCCTCCTCACTTAATTGCTGAAATTTGGATTCTTCAAATGAGTCAAACGAGGTAATAGAAGTGCTTGAAGCAACTGACATTTGATCATCATCCTCAAAATCAAGCACTGACATTGTTGAGGTCTCCTGCACAAAATCACTATCAATTCTCACTTCATCTTCATTAGGGCCTGATGGGGTCGTTATAAAAGCATCTTCACACACATTCCAATCATCAATATGATCGACACTGAAAAACGAATAATCTAAGAGATACTTTATCTGTATACTGTTGATCGGTTTAGAAATACATAGGAAGATTCCACAAGTTTTTAATGAAATATAGAGGGCCATAGAGGCTGTAGAGGGCATTAACTATGTCCACTTTGTTTACATTTTCAAAGTGTTGAATTCTGCTATGCTGGTATAAGTATATTCAGTCTTTATTTAATATAAACCCAACTGCTGAAACCTGGTTACAAACTCAAGATTATTATGTCTATTATGTATATTAATCATTCCATGCTTTTTCAATAAATGTCACA